CATTCTTCTCTGTGTCTATTTTCTTGGTTTTAGGCTTTGTCAATTTACGGTGCTGGGTGCATCTGTTCTGCAAAACACTTGCGACCTGTCCAAGGTGTACCTGGCCTTTCGCCCATAGACTGCTGTGGAGATGCACCAACCCCACAGCGACCCTGACACATTAAGTGTGAGAGGATGGATGGATGCATCTATGGATGGATGGATGGATGGATGGATGGAGGGATTAATAAAGTACTAATGAATTGAACTGAGTTTATTTAAATTGTTCTTAGTTGGATCTTGCAGGGGCAGCTCAGTGGTGCAGTTGGTAGCACTGGGTTCGATTCCCGGCCCGGGGTCTTTCTGCATGGAGTTTGCATGTTCTCCCTGAGCATGTGTGGGTTCTCTCCGGGTACTCAGGCTTCCTCCCACAGTCCAAAAACATGACTGTTAGGTTAATTGGCTTCTCTAAAGTCCCCTTAGGTGTGAGTGTGTGTGTGATTGGTTGTTTGTCCTGTCCGTCTCTGTGTTGCCCTGCAATGTACTGGCAACCTGTCAAGGGTGTACCCCGCCTCTTGCCCGTAGACAGCTGGAGACCAGCACCCCTTGTGACCCCACTTGGGAAAAGCGTGTAAGAAAATGGATGGATGGATCTTGGTTAGGGGTTGTCATCAGTATATGGGACTTTAATAATTTATAATTTATATAAATTTAATAATTTATTATTTCCATTTTCTTGTGGATTAAGATAAACATCGAAGAACTGTGAAATACTGTGACTTCAGTAGCCAACATTTTATTTTGTTTTATTTTTTTGTTTTCCAAACAATAGCTGTCCATTTGAACAGCCGTGTTTTGTGAAAGAAAAAGTAAAATCAATACTGTACATTTTCTAGTATCATCCTGAATTTCAAAAGTGGTAATGAAGGACTACAGTTGGAATGCAAGGCTATGCACTTGTGCTGGTGTTACATGGAGTAGTGACAGTGTGACTGTACCCTGTAGAACTTAGGCTTTTTTTTCACATCTGGTTCAAACTGACATTTTAGCTCTTGACCTTTTAAATCAGAGTTAACAGCACAAGTCACCAAAACAAGTGTGCCAACTCTTAACGTTTGATTACATTCCATGCAGAGAAGCGTAATGTTATCAGTTTGTATTCCTATTTGTAGAAAGCCCTGTAACTATCCACGAATATGGGCAAACCCACTGGTAGTTGGACTTGACACTGGAGCACGGTTGTATTGGATGTGATACCATTCCTTACTGGAGTTCTGAGTTAAAAGGTATACTCCAGGAAAGGAGGTAAATCATTGTTTAATTAAATTTAATTAAATTAGGGTTGGCAGATATCATTTGTCATCACACAATCCAGGTTCATAAAAAGCAGACTTGATTTATTGTATATGTGATTAAAAATCAACATAAAGAATAAAAATAAAATAATAAAAGAATGAGCGGCCCGTATACACTAAGCTGTGCATTTAGACTACAATGACCACTTTCTCTGGTCAGAACTGCGGGATCCAATCTGTGCTGGCCTCACTCTATACAGCTTCGGGGCTGTAGTGGATCTGGTTCCAGGTGAGGCATTGTTGTTCTGCTCTGATTGTGCTTCAGGTTCTATCAGAGGATCTGAGTCGGTGAAACTAGAGCTGCCAGAGTCCACACTGAGTGTATTTTGTTTGAGGGGGATTCCCTGAACTGTGAGGATGCCAGGAAATTCCACGGACACTGTGGCTGTGTGCGTTGCCCCTTAATTGTTGTGAAGACAAATTTTCATTTGTTAGTTACATTGAAAATCTCTGTCATTTTTTTATTATTATTTATTATCTCAGTCATTATTTTTTGGAGTTACTCATAGTCTGCAATGGATGTTCTTTTTCTTTCCTTTTAACCAATGTTATATTTCTGATGTGCTGTAGACTGTGTGAGATTTTCAAATGTCAATGTTGGCAAAAAAATTACATACAAATAAAAAATGGGCAGGGATGGTTTAAATAATTGCAGTATAATGGCAGTTTAATTGAAATAAAGATGCCACATTCTCCTTCTCTTATTGGTTATAAATATTAAGCCAGACAAAGTCATCAAAGATAATAAGGAGCCTGGCTCTTTTCTGTCTTTATTGTAAGTGTTAACACAGAAACTTGAAACTCAGAGTAACTCACAAAAACACACACACTTAATATACTAACGCATACACACAAGCACATGCACTGGTCCGTCCTCCGTCCAGGTGACATTTGGGCCGATATATAAACCACTAGCAGCTGCTCAGAGTCAGAAGATTCCTGCAGTGCAATACTGAAGTACTGTAACACTTTTCTGTCTGCTAACCTGAGCTTTTTCAGCTGCCTGCCTACTACCTGTTGACCAATCAGGGACCCGTCTGACCTCAATCATAATGCTCACTGGGTATGTTGGCTGATTCTCTGTAAAGAGCACTTTTTTGTAATAGCGCTGTAGAAAGTCTAGGACATAAAAGTCAGTGATAGCAAAATGTGTATAGAATCAGGGAGGTCTCTAAAAATGTATTTTTGAACAAAAATCTTGCTTAGGCCAGTCCTTTGAAGTTTCTTTCCTTTTTTTTGAGGCAATCAAATGCATTGTTGCTACTTTTCTGTACATACTTAATGAGGCAGTGCACATTAATTCTTACCTCTATTGAAGTTTGTTGTGTCTCAAACATCTACTTAGTCTATTAGTAAACCTTATGGGCTATATATGTTGGGTCTATATGAAAAACTATACTTTTTCAATAGTTCAGAATGGGCAGATGTGAAAATAAAACTGCTGCTCAGTCTAAATGTTGTGCTTATATTGCAGGAAAGCTATTCTTCTGTTCTCTTTGTTTGTTCTGCTTGCAAAAGGAGATGTTGACACCAATGGTAACTTTGCATCTGATCTAATCAAGAAATAAAATGTAAGAAATCCCTGTTTAAGCCACTTTGTGTTTAGTAACACTGTTTTATGATTATAGATGTGGGAAGTCAAGCCATATCAACAGGTAAAAGTCATCCAGATGCTCCTCATCGCTTCATGTAAAGTATGCTGAAAGTCTTTTGAAATTTTTTTAACATGTGTATTTTAAAATTGTTTGTTAGATAAAGATTCATTATCGGATGAAGGTCCAACAGGTCAGTAAAAACGTCTCAGCCTGAAGAATTTTGAAGGTTCAGGTTTTTTTTTCTTTCACTTAAATTAATGCCTACTCAAAACCAGAGTAAATGAACTTTGAAAAAAGGAACCACAAATAAGTAAAACACTTAAGATTGAAAAATGCAAACAAATATTGATCTATTCAGAGTGAAAATCACCATTTATGAACTTCTAAACTGTGTATTGATGAACCTTACATTAAAGTAAGTAACAGCTTAATATTCAAATTTGTTCTCAGGTGCTATTAAAAAGGGCTGTGAGTCTGGTTCCTTTCAAATCAGTACAAACTAAAAAAAAAAAAATATGTAAAGATAATATTCCATTACTTGAATCAAATTAATAGCTTTTATAAGCTAATGACTAATATAAAATAATTGATATGTAAACTGATCATAAAGGTTGTTCATAAATATATTGCTAAAAAATATGTAGTAATTGCAGCTTTACAGTATTTTCAGCCATTGTTGGATGTTGCGAATCAGCTGTTGTTCTTCGTGTTTCAGAGAGCATGAACCTTATTTCTCCTGAACAGCCAGGTAAGATTTTTGAGATAGCATTGCTCTTTTTGTCTGAATAATTCCAAAAACAGTTTGAAAGGATGTTTAATTTATGGATTTATAAAAACACTCTATAAAACCAAATGCATATAAATGATCAAAAGAAAGGGCAGCAATATTATGTTTAGTTTCCTGAGTTCTGGAGACAAACTACAGAGATAATATCTCATCATAAATAGCTATGAAATAGGCAAACTAAATGGGAGACGTTGAGTTTAATTTAATTTCACAGATAAAAAATGTGATTAAGAATGGCTGTGGAGGAGGCTAATACAATAAAGATGGAATTAAAGGTAGTCAATATTTTGGCCTCCTATGATTTAAAGATTCTGTTCAGAAATCACACAATTTGAACAGGAATTAGAAAATACACATTTAAAGCTCATAAGATTCAGCTACATTTTAAAATATCCGACTTCTCCCTTTATTCTGACAGATACAGTGTAAACATCAAGATCCCCATCAACAACAGTTTTTAACTAATTGGAAAATTCTCCTAAATGGGCAATAGAAAGTGAGTGACAGCAGGTCTTTAAGTATTAGGGGATCACATAATTACTATTTGGAGCTATTTAACACCATTACACCATTAAATAATTTTTAAGGCAGTTCCAAAAATCATATGGCCTGTTAAGCAGTTATTTTGAAATAAATGAGCAAACATTTATTTAAAAACTAATATAAAACTCATGGTAATTTGAAATGGAGCACAGCTGTGGTTGTGTAGCCAGGCCTCAGTATAGCACAGAGGATTTTTGTTGTTGTTGTTCTTTTATGGTAAAACGTCTTTGCTTTTGTTCTAACTAATTCATTTTTTGGGGCCACTGGCTGTTTGCATAGTTTAACAAAAAAAACACTAAATGTAGTAAAATCACTTAATTACCTAAACCAAAATATTTATCACGGTATAGCTGGTTGAGGCAGAAATAGAAAAAAAAGAAGAAATTGGTCTAAAATAATGACTTAAAACATTTAAAGGTATCTGAGTGTGCAGTAGCAACATAACATTTAAAAACACTATATTAATGTGTTTACATAAAAAATAATTTATGTTTGCTATTATAAAAAAACCCCATAATAATAACAGAAAGTACATTTCCCTTTTAAAAGTGAAATAATATGTCTAAGTCTATGTCTAAACCTTATCATGGTGTAAAATGTTCTACACTTTTTAAATGGTAACAGCTTCTCAACAATAGAAAACTAATACTAAAAGTGAATTTATTTTATTTTAAAACAGCAATAATTACATCTGTATGAGAAGCCGAAATTAGCAAGAGAATAACAACAAAAATGTTTTAAGTCCATATCCACTAGTAATGGTTGTATTAACAGAGTTCAGAGTTCAGACCTTATCAATCTGGTCTGAACCAAAATAAAAAGAAAGCTGTGGATTGATTTGGTGTAAACTAACAATGAAACCTGAAACTGATTTATTTTAATGGAACTGTAATCAGCCTGCCAGTATTGTGAATAAACAGTAAATATGTCTTCCTATTTTTGCACATATGAAAATGGATCTTTTGAACTGTTGAATGTTTTTAGCTTTACAGCAACATATGAACATTAAGCTTTTTCTTTTATTCTAGATGAATCCCAGTATTATGCAGGAGGGCCATCAGGTAGGTTTCATGATGATTTAAATGATTTCAATAAGAAACTGTTTAGGTCTCTTTAGGTAGCATTAGCTGGAAATGTAAATGGGAGTTGCTTGATCGGAGTAGTGATGCTGTAACTCAGAGGAACCTCTCTAGGCCTGATCAATCCCCAAAAATCTAATCTCTGGAGTCTATTTAGTTGTTTTAAACATAGCTGACTTAGGTACCAATCATAGTCTGCCATAGATATGGATGTTACTGTATTGTCACAAAAACATTTTAAATGTTCCAGCAGCCATAAGCATCAGTTTAAAGGGGAATAAGAAGCAATGCCCATTAAGCAATTTATCTCCATAATTCTTTTAAAAACATAAAATGACATAAGTTACTGGTGAAAAATGAAAATATTTAGGTAAAATATTGGGATACAAACCTACCCAGATCTCCGATCAACCAAGTTTCCAGTTTACCCTTTTCTGCTTTTTCCCCCCGGATTTTAGACACCAGCAACACCAGTTCAGAGAAGGCAGAAAGTAAGACCATTTATTCCCACTTTGTCAATCTATAAATCTATCCAATTGATTTGTCTCTTTATCCATTCATTTAATGTGTATGTGTCATTTATTTAGCACAAGCAGCAGATCAAGTTGTAGCTCCTGGTAAGACCCAAATACAAATCCACTAAATAAAAAATCTAGCATGAATAAACTACTTATTCTGTTTTCTGTTTGTTGCTTATGTTATTAGCCATTTGATTAACTTTTTGATTTCAGAGCCTGCTGCAGCCGCTCCTAGCAGTGCAGAGGAAGAGGATGGTGAGAGAGACATACACTGATTATATAGGCAGCTTTAAACTGTCTTCCTCCTTCTTTGTTTTAATAAATGTCATCTTCAGAAATGATAATTTTGCCACTTGCTAAAAGAAAGTGTGTATTTACAAATGTAGCCCAGGAGCTACATACTTTAAATAAAAGCAGAACACAATAAAAACTTTACAGAATAACATGGAAGGGGTTTTATGGAAAAAAAACCTAAAATAAATCTATTCATTTACTATATTATTTTTTTGTCACAGAAAAAGAAGGTAATGATTCTGAAGAAGGACCAAAGAAAAAGTCAAGCTCTCGTTCAGCAAAACCTCCAAGCCCCGCCCACACCAACCAGAGCCCCGCCCACATCATTCAGATCCCTGCCCTACCACCTCAGCCCGTCGCGCCACAACCGAAAACTTTGCCCAGGACCAGGTCGTCCAAGAGACGATCCAGGACCAACCGGCGCCAGATATAAGAAAGCAGAACAAACCTGTAAAATACTCCTCCAACATGTAACCGATCCCTGCTCAGAAACATGATGTACTTTTTTGAACAATGACACTAAAGAGGAAAAACATTGGTGCTTGGATTTATGTTCACCTGTAGTCTTATAAGTTAACTATTAATCTGACATTCAGGATGGTTTGATTGGACAAACACAGACCTCAGTCAGATGTTTCTGGTACAAATATGCTTCTATCACAGCTGTAAAACAGTCATGGATAAACTTTATAAGTCTAGTTTTTAACTGATATTTACTACAGATTTGAAACACAGAGACTTTGTGACATTTTAAATTCAGCATTATGGTTTTTAATCTCAGACGCTCTCTGGTCCCTTATTTTTATCTAATATGTAAGGATTTCAGCCTCTGGACTCCAGCAACCTCAGAGTATTACATCTGCTCAGTTTATTGCATTTGTTTTATCATTCTTATCCTTATATGCATTTGTGAAATACTTAAACATGTGGCTTCCTTCTTTTGTTCTTGTATCAAATTTTAAATAAACTTAAAAAAAAAATTTTCATTCGTACACAGATTATTAAAAAACACATTCATAACATACATCATATTCATTGTTGTTATAATGTGGAGAATGTAATTAATAAAGTTAGAGTGTATGGTTTTACTTGGAAAAAGAAAAAGCCACACAGGCACACAAACAAGCCAGATTTCCCGTGCTCTTGATTCAAGTTTTCTTTTTTACTTTTCAGGAAGGTTTGAATCTGAAATCCAGGATCAGAACTTTTATACTTGATATATGTGATGACTGGATCCATCGAAATGTTTTTTTTAAGTTTCGTTATTTTTGAAACCTGCAAAAAGTCCCTGCAAACACAGAAAACTCAACCCCTCAACACACAAACACTTCAAGCAGTGTTTTTCTAGATGAAGCACTCTATGCTTTTATGTGATTGCTTGATTGATTCTGAAAGAGGTGATCAAGTTCTGACCCAACTGTGCCAAACCAAAGATCTTTAATCTCTATGACCAACACCAAGAAAATGTCAGGGTTGAATGTTGTTGTGGACCCTAATGCAGAGTAGAGGAGGCACAGGTAGTTTTTTGCAGTTTTAATGGAGAAGTAAATGGTATGAAAACATAAATCCAGAAATAACAGGCTGGCAACTCAGGAACCAAAAAATAGAGACACCCAGGAGAATCACACAAGAAATGAAGAGAATCAGCACTGAGAAGCTGCAGAGAAGGAGTATATATGGGGGACAGAACAAAGACAGAACAAAGACTGGGCTAATATGCCCTATGCCCTAACCACAAGGCCTAGTGGTTAGGGCATAGGGCTTTGAATCCTGAGATTGGGAGTTCAACCCCCCACTTCCCCAGACTGTCACTTTGGGTCCCTGAGCAAGACCCTTAACCCCACACTGCTCCCCGGGCGCCGCACAATGGCAGCCCACTGCTCCCCAATGGGGTGGAATAAAAATGCAGAGATACATTTTTCCAATGTGAGATTAATAAAGTTCAATTATTATTATTATTAATCAGCTGATAGGGAGCAGGTGTGGATAGAAGTAACTAGAAGGGAGTTAGGGGAATGGAGGCTGGCACAAGGGGTCAATTGAGAGTAACATTAGAAGTAACACTACCTAAATATAACACAAAATGCAAAATAAATCAATGACCAACAAAACAGAATGACATGAATAATTGAAAAAAAAAAACTTAAACAGAAGTTCACAAAGGGCAGAATCATGACAGACAATTGATTAAATACCTGTTAATGATCTGTAAGGCGCTCATGGTTTTGGATTTACATTTATGTAATGATAATGACACAGTTAGTCAAACAAACTGGTTATATCAATCAAACACTACAACAAAAGAAAATTATGCTTTTCATTAAACTTGTGTTTTGCTTTCTTTAATATATAGTATTTGACAGATTATTGGAGAATTGGTTCTGCTTCAGAATTAATTTACAAAATGATTTAAAATTTTATTCTAAACTAGTCGCATATATTTTATTTTAAAGTGGTATGTGTGACAAAAATGAAGACTCTAGTTTTGTGACTTTTGCCAACTTACGTGAAAGTAGTGGTGACTTAGAAAAGGTGATGAATAAATTACAAACCTTACAATCTTTACTAAAGAGTCATCATTTTTATTTACAGCGTATTGTCCCTTAGTGTGGATATGTGTCATCTACATTTTTACCTTGCCCTTTTTTGTTTCAGGGAAGAAAGCAGTCTGAATTTCAAAACTCATACCCTTAAGGCACCCTCATGACGCAAAAGCTCTGCTTGCTTACCATTGTACAAAACGTTCAGTCAAATTTTTTTTTTTTTTGGTTTTTAACAGCACTACTGGCTCATTTTGTTGGCTGATAGGTACGGGGGGTATGAGAGAGGGGGAGAGACATGCAGAAAGGACTACAGGCCGGATTCGCTTAATGGAGAACTAAGGCCTCCGTACATGGGTCATGTGCGCTAACCACTGCGCCAACAAAGCATGCCCCCATCGGCGTAATATCTATCTACAGCATCTCCTATGCAGCAATTTCTATTGTTAAAATTAAACATTAAAAATACATCGCACCTCTAATTAAAAAGCCAACTGTAAAAGTTGGTTTTCCAGCCTTTCACCAAAAAACATGAAACTTAACTGAAATTTCTTTTAAAATAACCAACAACTTAAAGGTATAAATACTGTATGAGGTACATTATATACCACCAAGGTAGTTGGCATCTTAAAGTTAAAGATTCCAACTACCTTGGATTTAAATTATTGTCCCCATATTTAACAATTTATATTTTTCAGGTACACACCACTGAAAATAATTTTTCATATAAAAAAGAGGAAATAGTTTGTTTAAAGTGCATTTTTGGACCCTCTAGAACCCGTGGATGATACGGAGTAAAAGAAGGAGAGGCAGCATTTGATTTTTCTTCTCCTTAGCTCTGGAACCAACTCCCTAAAACAGCTGGCTCTTTTAAATCTGGATAGACGAGTTTAGTGTTAGAACAGCTTAGTCTACACATTTGACTAGTTTATTACCTTGTACTTTTTTTCTTTTAAAAGTTTTTTTCACTTTTTTTCCTTAGTTTTTTTCCATAAGCAGCCCGAATTACAGTACCTTATGTGTAATTGGTGCAAGGCAGATATTTATGACCAGCCTTAACTTGTGGTAGTAACAAATCTACCATTGAGAGTCCTTCACTGTTGTCAGCAGTTAAAAAAAAAAGACAGATCTATTTTTTATGGTTTGCACCACAGTGTATGAATTCATGTCTTAAAAGCCTGTTAGTTTTGCAAAGAACATTTAGACCAGATAAATGCTAAAAACAAATTAGATAGGGGGAAGTGGAAACTTGGAAAGTGGTTTAGTTAGATTGTTGATTTTGCTTAAAAACACAACAAATATTCCTTTGGGTGTCAAAAGTATAAAGTGAGAGTTGGGTGAAATGAACTGACAGTTGTGGAGAGTAGTGCCTCCTGGAGGAGAAAATGATGATCAGGAAGCTTAAAGCAAACACCTGAGACAGAATCAGATCATGTCGAACTAACGTAACCAAGATGAAATTTATGGGATGCCAGCAGGTTGTGTTGTAAGTTTTAATAGACCAAGTCTTGTAGTATAATAAAATAGGTTAAAGTGTTGAGTATAAAAGGTTGGCATTGGTTATGAGTGTGCGGCTGAATGTTTTTTTGTCTGGTGGAGCATACTTGTGAGGTTGAAGTTTGTTACTGCAGAGACAAAACAGTTAAGAGGAAAAAGACACAGGATAACCCCCAGACAAACAGCAGCCCACTTACTTCACATGCTTGCAGTGAGTTATCAGTGAAGGTAGCAACAGCCTGGTACGAAGACTGTACGAATGTGACCCACACTTATAAAAATTTGTTTTTCAAAAGTCTCTTTTTTGCTGCAGAATGCACACAGCAGAAGGGAATAAAGGTTATTATCCAAATTACTCTAATGAAACCAAAGAAAGGAAACATTTGGTAAAATCTTTCATGCAGCCAATAAACCATTAACAATGACAGCATTTTCAGCCATAGATTAATTTGTTGTTGTTTTTTGTTTCTGTTTAGTTCAATCATTTATGGATCAGAATCTTAGTCCATTCCTAATTCTCAGTTCTCCGACAGCTTCTTGCCTTAATTCTCTTCAGCTGTTTCTCATTCTCACCTGCTCTTCATGCCTTTTCTCATCCCTTTCCTCTATAAGCTTGGTGGTTTCACCTCTTATCTCTGGAGTCTTCTGTTGTTCTTGTTGCTCTTGTTCCCTTCTTCACCATCGGCTTGTTTTGTCCATGTTTTGTCCTTTATTATAATCAAATTCTTAAACTCACCATGCAGATCCTGAATTCCAGACGTATCAATCTGAGGATGGCTCAGTGTAATGAAAAATGCTGGAATATTTTTCATTACCCTGGTTCAATTAAAGTTAAAATTATTTTATAAACGCAGGATGTGCAGTTGTCACTGATGTGATATTTTGTGTCATGTTTTGCTTGAAAACATTGTCATGCCATACTTTGACATATAGAGGATGTGCAGTCACATGACTGTTGTTTTTTGTATGCCGCCATGCTGGACGGCATAAAACCAAATGTGTGTTGCACAATAATGCAGCAAGATTTTTACTACAGAGATTAAATACAAAATGAGAAGAGAATCTGCTAAACCAAACATTGTGTAAATATGTTGAACATTTAGATGGGAACTTTTCTTTTTGCACGGAAGGATCTTCAGACATCCCCAACGTCGCCAACAATGACTTGTATAATTATTGGCTGAATCACCAATCTTACTCTTCAGTTCTGAAGGCTTAAAAGTTTAGATACCTGCAGCTATTTTGTTTTATGCTGGTGGGGGCAAGTTTTAAAATACACTAGTGGAAACCCTGCATGCCTGTTAAACTCTCTGATTGTTTTTGACTAATGTCAGAGGCTATTTCCACATTTGTCTAAATGAAAAAAAGACCCTGCAGCAACAAAAATAATTTGAGTATAACGACTAACCGTTTTGAGCATGAGATGACCGTGTTTTTGTCTGTGTTTTCAAGGTAATATGGAGGAAAACTGCAAGAGCTGCTCTTTGTCTGAGTGGTTTGTATTGCATCCAAGGAGAAGGAGTTGCGGATGTCACGTGATTGGCTGATGTCAGCTTCACGTCCTCATATACCACATGCAGACTCCCAACAGAAACGCACCACCATTTGCACAGTTTGCCTTTTCTCTTCTGCAACATGCAACATTGCTCTCTAAGGATAACTGCTCCATCTTTCTTTCAAAGTCCAGATTTTTAAATTTTAGGTGAATAAACAATTCTAATGATCTGTTTAAATGATCATCCTTGGTCCACTTGATTTAAATGGCTAACTTACCTCCTCCGCATCTCATCTGCAGTTATGCAAGGTGCAGATGCATCCAGACGTTTCACAACGGTGGTTCTTAAGGAATGGAGTTGGATTGCTCTCAGAGAGGTTTGCTCTCTTAACCATTAATGACTTTGACAAACAGGTCATTAAAGCATTTTTGACTACACCCG